TTTTTTTTTTTTTTTTTTTTTTATTTACAGAGCTCAGCAGTCAGCCCTACTCCAGACATTTCTTCAGAGCCTCCTGGATAGTAAGTCACTTCACTTTGTTTACATTACTTAATGTATTAAATATCAGAAACAAAATGAGAGAGACATGTGTTTTGGACCCAAAGTATTTCATTTATATCTGTCTAGAGGCTTCAAATGAGGTGATAAGTAGCAGTCTAATAGTGTTCAAATTATTTTTCTTTTGTTCTTGCTCCTTCCAAATGAATTTTGTAATGATTCCTACTACTTGTTTGCTTTTTTGTTTTGTTTTGTTTTTTGGTACCAGGAATTGAATTGTGGCAGAACCACTGAGCCAAATCACCGGCCCCGATTCCTACTATTTTTAATAAGGTTTTTCCCGTTAGAATATGAGATTATATGTCTGTGTTTAGAGTTCAAAGTTCTCTTTTGTGGATTCTTGGAGGAGGGAGATGTAACTGGGATGGGCTAAAATTGGTGACAAGCTGGAGGGACAGACAGTGGGGTTGAGTCCCTGGGCCAGACCTGCCATGAGGAAAGTGGAGTTAAGAGGGGACCAACTTACTTGATTCTCAGATGGATGTGGATTTGTTTCCCTGTATCATAAGTATTCTGGCAGCATGACGCATGCTCTCTCCATTCATGAGGTGTAACCACCAGTCTCCTGTCCTGCTTCACAAAACTACTGTGAATTCTCTACTAGATTGCTTTTCTCAGTACTTTGCCATGGAACTATTATCTCAGGTCAACATTTTCAGTGCTCCCCTTACCCAATTAGACACATGATAAATAGAAAACATTTCAGCTTATACAAATAGGTCCTGGCTGAGCTGCCTTATACCATGTCTCGTGTCAGTGCCTCATATGGCCCTTGCTTCTGCTGCCATGTACCTGATTTGCACTCTTCTACTATTCTGACTGTTAATTTATAAACTCCTGAGGGCAAGGCCTCCCATCTACATGTTATCTGGCACATATCATAAATTTGGGAAAGGAGCTGGTATGGAGTATTTCTATATCCTTTCCCCATCATACCTATGCCTATTCTTCAAAATATGAGGAGGATTGGTGGCCTGCCTTGCAAGCGCAAGTTCAATCTCCGGTTCCAAAAACAAAAAAATGAAATATGAGGAGGAACAGTACAGTGGTTACTACTGTAGTGGGGTCAGAATACCACAGTGAGAAAATTTGCTCAATTTATGGGTTGTTTTTTTTTTTTTTTTTTTTTTTTTTTTTTTTATTTGGGTTTTTTGTTTATTTCTTTTTATTTTCCTGTTTAGTAGAGTGTATTTTTGAAAAGTAGGTGTTCATTATCCTCTGTATTTCT